TAATATATTTATTAACAAAAATTGTAATTATGTCCTAACACTGGGTAAAAATAGTATATGTTAAACGTTTCTTTGGTGTTCGTAAAATTATTATCCTTAATCGGTTTTTACCATTTAAATTTCATTTTAGTATAACCGTATTATTAAAGCAAAATTATGTGTAAAAATGTACGTATGTATATACACATATAAATATCTATGTATGTATATGCATATATGTACATAGTTTTAAAGTTTTATTGACCTTGAGTTAACTTTTCTTCATGCCCTAGTGGTAACATTGGTAACAACAACACATTAAGCAGATGTGCTTTGTGCACATACATACATACGTACATACATAAACTCGTACAATTTACTTCTTTTGAATAATAAAACTTTGTTTTGTTATGCAATTTTACCCTACTTTTGTTATTTACATACATATGTTTTCACCATTTACTCTTAAGCGGCGTTTGCATTGTTCAAATTAAAAATTATAAATGTACTCAACACCATAGACATATGTATATATTTCATCTCCACTCAAACAACCAACACTTATGCGGAGGGTCTCTACAAATTGAGAACCTTTGGACAACAATCGCACTCCGCGGTTTAATTTTTAAGGAAAAGAACGAATTAAAAGCTCTCACTGCATTGTTATCACACTGAGCTACTACTTAGATCAGGGCCGGCTAACCTTTATGTATATATAGATGCGCCACTATTACCAAATAATTATCCAATGTGCCAAAAATAAGTCATGACTTATTCCCGTTCTTGGAGGCATTGCGTCGCCTGGGTAATCGATTGTCGTAAGCGCCATTTGGACGATTTTTAGTTCTAGATGTAGTTGTATATTTTGAAATAAAGTCTTTCGATTGGTGCTATCAGTTTTTAGATATCTCCTTAAGTTTCCGAGATATTGACTACAATTTTTTCGATAATTTAGTAAAAATTTATGCAGTCATATTAAACTAATCAATGTCTTAGAAATGATGTTCTCCATTTTTGTATATATCCTTTAGCTTGCGAGATATTGAGTAAAAACTGTGGTTAATTTAGTAGAAATTTTGATCACATTTTGTCGTATTTCATACAAGTGGCTTCCAAATTGTGGACAAATGACGCTTACGACAAAATTTTACTAAAGAAAATCCTTCATAAACTCAAAACTAATTAACGATAAACATTAAAAATTAAAAAATTTACGAGTTTTGTGAACTAGTACCATTTTCAGAGACTTTGGAGAAATTCTATCTTCGCATTTTTGAAAAATTGTATTCTAAACTTCAATCGCAATTTCTCACAACCTACCGAAATTAACATACGACAATCTTTTACCCAGGCGACGGGTGCGTTCAGAAATGCATCAAGCCAAAGCATCAGTCTCTTTTACTTCTAAATTATAACTGATGCAAATGCCTTATATACGCAACTAAGTTCCAATTAGGCATTTAACCGTGTTTGCGCATATTGCATATTTCCATCAATTACAGTTTAGAAATAAATACGTATGATGCTTTGGATTGATGCATTTCTGAACACACCCGACGATTGGTTAACACTTATATCGTGAAAAAAAGTAAAAAAAAAAAACAATTAAGCGTCTCTTAAATGCCTCTGTATACCTTGCGTGCAAACGCCAGCTTCTGCAGACATCTAATATGTCTGGAATTAAATTCCAGTTTATCAAGTAAAGTCACATCAGGAATCAAATAAATTTGAGTGTTTCCGATAACTGCTTGAATTCAGAAGACCTCGATGAAAATTCGTCGATGAGAGAATTTATTACCAAAGAAAACTCTTCAGTAATTCTTGATCTGTCTGGTTTTTCATCTAAATTCAAATCTGATATTAAATTTGTTAAGTTTGGCAAACACTTGCAAATTTTTGGAAACAATGAAGCATATTCATAAGTTGCGATCCCGTACGAGTCCGGACTAGTCAGAAATAGTCAGAATCAGTCAGATTTTACTGGAAATCGATCCCGTACTCGGTTCTCTGACTATTGAGAGGACAAAAAAGAGAGTAAATACGGTTCTCTCTCTGTCAGAAGTTACCAGTTTTAGTCCGAGAATTTTTTGCTGGTAAATTCTGGTAAATGTGTCAAACGATCAGCTGTAGTGTGTTTGGCAACCAAATTGTAAACAAAAGAAAAGTGCACTCTGCTAATTCATGTTGAAAAGTATTTAATTACTTGTTTAAGTGGATTCTAATGAATTTGAAAGTATTTTTGGTTATTTACATGTGTGAGCTGAGTGTGTTTACATACAAAATAAGCAAAAATTTACAACCAAAATTTGGAGGTTATGTTGAAGTTGACAGAGGTTACCATTTTTACTAGAAAGCGATCCCGTACTTTTCAATGTTACTCTCTCGCTCTGAGCGAATTTTTATTTTTTGACAGTTTTACTAGTCCGAGTCCGAGGAATACGGGATTGCACCTATAGTCAAAATGAAGACGAAACTAAAGTGAGCTGCAACTTGTTGACATAATTATCAATGTAATATCTGCCAAAAAGCGGCTACTAAATTAAGACTCGACTCTATTGCGACTATGAATATGCCTAAATGTCTTTACCAATAACTTTCTGTTTAGCGCGAATGAGATCTATGCATCATAATTATAACAGTTTTATTAGAGCCTTAAAGCTTTACGCTCAAATCATTGAAATGCTGGCGCATATCCGTAAAAACCACAAATTTTGCAAGCCACGTATAAGCCTCAAACCTTCGTTTATTTAATGCGTGCGCAGCTATGCGGTTCATTATTTTTGAGAGCTACGCCCATTATATCACCAAGGGAGGCGAAGCCCTACTTTGCGCACAAAGCTTATTGATTAATGATGCAATAGAACCNCTGTCTGTTTTTTTTTGTCTTTTCTGACCTGTTTTCTTGGGTGTGAGCAGATCTTGGTTTGATCTCCAATTCAAACGAAAAAAAGAAACTGTGTCGACTAGGTAGTAAATACTTCTACTAGTAATTGATGAATTGAGTCCTCAATTAATACCGTGCCCAAATTATTTTGTTACGTGCCATCAACGGTTCGCTTGCCTTAGGTTAGCCAGCCCTCACATAGATTATGTGTGGTTCCATGCTTTGGACTCCTGACAAGGGCTACCTGCTTTTATTTGGTGCAAAGACTCTTTTGAGTTTATGCGAAAAACCTGACGATTTCAGAGATCGCAAAAACATTTGGACTTGTATGTATGTTCATAGTAATGCAATAAGCTTACACTAAGTTTGTAGTGCGAAAAATTTAGCTCACTTCTTACACATGACACCCAATATCTCCTACAAAGACCACAATTTTGTTATCCTTAAAATTGTGTACGATACGTTAATAGACGCCATTGGTCGCCTGCATCGTATCAAGAACGGTTAAGCGCCTCGACGTGTAACCATTTCTTTGTGTATGAAAGTGGGACAGACTCATATTTTATATCGGGCCAGTTATGGTGGCCGCTGTGGTGTAGCGGTAAGCAGTGCGCTCTTCCACGCTGCAGCGCCTGGGTTCAAGCCCTGCCTAAGTTACATCGCAAAAAAATGTATGAAAATGGTTTTTTCTTAACCCTCCGATGAGTGACAGTGCCGATGACGTTAGATTCGTGAGAAGGTCCTTAGGGACCTACAAAGCGTTGCTCGATGTTTCGACTGTACATGTGCAACTTCTTTGGTATTTATGTTGTCTTTTGATTAAATTAACGTCCTGCATATATATTAGGAATGAAATAATTTGAAGAACAAGTGAAAAAAAATCAAAACATGAAGACAAGTAACTTGTTATTTCTTCTAAAATTGTACAAGGTCCCTAGGGACCTTGTCACTAATCCCCGTACTATATATGTTGAAATCTCAATAACACTCGAACGTGATCCCGTATCCCTTCGAAACTTATTTTAAACGATTCAGCTTAATTTATTCTTGGAATACATGTATAAATTCTTTTCAAAAATGCATTGAACAAAAAGATATAGGCACATGAAATACGAAAAGGTCCCTAGGGACCTTCTCACAAATCGAAGGGTTAACAGCGGTAGCTCCTCGGCAGGCAATGGCAAACCTCCGAGTGTATTTCTGCCATGAAAAACAGCTTCTCATTAAAATACAATCGCCGTTCGAAGTCTGCATAAAACTGTAGGTCCCTTCTCTTTGTGTGAACATATCAAGGCGCACGCCACAAATCAGAGGAGAAGCTCGGCCAAACACTAATATTTGTGTAAGCGCCAATCTATTTAGTTATGGTAAATAAGCTTTGTGAATTGCTATTTGTACAGTAAACCCTGTTTTTGTGCGATAGACAGGCAATTTTGCACAATCATTTATTTTATGCGATGGCAAGGGACCGCATAAAAAAAGTCTCACCAAGAAAAATTGAAAAAGCTTTATGAAAAAGTAAGAGAAAGTGTTCCAAACTAAATAAAAAATTAAAGTTAACATTTATACTAAAACAAATATATTTCCTTATTTTAAAAACGATTTTAACATCAAAAATTTTGCTAACATAATACTTAACAGCCTTACGAGAAGCTATGTGTAAATAAAAAACATTAAAAAAATGTTAGGTTCTTATTTAAAACATAAGTTTACTCTGAAAACTTCGCACTTGTTAGGTAGTGCAATATGTGTTGAAATTGGCTGATATCCTACACCGCACAAAAGAAGGATCGCACAAAACAAAAGGCATACAAATAAAAAACCGCACAAATAAAGGCGCGCAATAAAATCGCATACAAAAAGACCGCACAAAAACAGGTTTGTACTCAGTTATTTTGCCCTATTGGTATTTTCCACTACCACCCATTGGTACTGTAAGACATTTTATCGTTACAAAACTTATGGAATTCAATTTCTTTTATTTATAGTATATTGCTTAGGCTCCGCGAATTAATTTTTATCTTTTATCTGTCTGATTCCCTTATATACACCTTTTTCCCACACATACATAGACACACATATATACATATATGTATGTATGTATGTATAAATCCTTTCGCTTAACATTAATTCTTACTCGTGGCACTTTTTCCTAACTAGATATTTTCAGACATCCAACATTTTTAGCTCCAATAGTCCTCCAGTCATTGTATTAGTAGAAGGTCCAGTAGAAATTTCCGTTAGAATTAAACAAAGCACTCCGAAAGTCTAAAACGCTGTGGCCTCGAAACTTATTAAAATTTTTGGCGCGTATTTGCTTCGGATATATTTAACATTGAAGAAAATTTAACATTGGTCTGTAGCAGTCAGATGCATTAATACAATACATGCAATTAACACTATTATATTACTTTCGACATTCGACATTTATTCGCGTAACACAAAATGCCTTTGCTGTTTAAATTTACGTTTTACTATTGTAACTTCATATACGTACAGATGTATGTACATATGTACATAAATACATTGTAGTTATCGATTTTCATTATTTTTGTGGATTTTTGGTGTTTTATTTAATTTTTCGCTTTTTAGTGGCGGTTTGGCGGTTGGTCATGCTTTGCCGCTTTTTTGGTTGTTTAGCGTCGTCTTCTTTTTGTTTTTTTTTTTTGTTGTTTTAAACTGAAAATCACTCAAGTGCAAATTAAAAAAGCCACTACCTCAAAAAAAAAAAACACTAGAATTAACGGTTGCTACGCACTAAAGCATTTGTTTTTTTTTGCTTCGTTATTCGTAAACTGTATGTTACATAATCGCACGTTGTTTTGTATTATGTACTTAATTGCTCCTGTTAAAGAACTTTTAAGCGGTAAGGTAGCGCACTTGTCTTGAAGCGTAAGTAGAGATTGAAATGAATGTTTTGATTCCGTTAACGTGTTGCACAGGTGTGAAGCGGAGCACAAAGTGTTTAGGTTTTTATAAGATTATACTACCGCTGCAAAACTAATGGAAGTAATGGAAATGCCAACTTGGAAAACACGTTGAACAATCATGAAATCTCAAATGCAACGATGGCATTCTGCATTGAGAAGAAGATCAAGATTGTGTGGCAAGAAGCAAAACTAGAGAGAATGCATAAATGAGTGCTACCGATTCGGCGGCTACAAACATCGTGCGATATTATTGAAAACATAAATACCTGCATACTTCATTTTACATACATATGTACATTCATATATATATTCAACGTACAAATACACATTTGCGCGTAAAGCATTTTATTAGAACAATTTGGTATTAAAATATGTATGTCTACATATACACCATACATATGTATGTACATACATTTACATAAATAAATCAATGGAGGAACTATTCAAGAGCATGTTGGACTGCTGATGATTTTATCATCATACTGACCCCGGAAGGCAAAGCCGGAATTAGTAGCAGGCACTGCTCCATTAAAAGGTGTCTGTTCTAAAGCGGATAGTAAGTTTTACTTTACAAAAAAAAAAATATATTAGTTTGGTGCACATGCTTTAATATGCAGCAATGCTGATTTGAAAACCATAAATAAAGTTCTACAATTAAATATTTCCGTTATCGCTGCCACGTTTGCCACTCTCAAAACACAAAAACTTCCGAAACAGTTGGAGAAATACACAAATGGTCCGGGATTGGACGCGTTAATATGTACATACATATCGCTAGCTTAGAGTGAAAAGTTGCTAAGTCCATTTTCTCAAATCTTACAGCAGACGAAAAAACTTCTTCTAAACATTTTCGTTTAGTATTTTGCAAGACTTTTAATACAACATTCTGCGTTTTTAAAGCAAACCAAAACTCCCTACGAGGAGCGTTCGATACTTATTTAAAAGATTTCGGTGGCGTGCAATAATGTCAATGGAATTAATGTTAATGACATTAATACATAATCCAAAAGTGAAATAACGTCAATGAAATTAATTTTAATGACATTAATACACAATCCAAAAGTGAAATAATGTCAATTGACATTAAGTCACTAAGGAATTGATTCACCCTCACACAAAAAAGAAGTAGGTAATGCTATAAAAAAATTTTGTTATTTAGACTTAATTGACAAAATGAAAGTGTGTTGATTTCATCGAAAATATTACTAACCAGCCAAACCTACACCCAATAACACAGACGTTTTAATAGCAACAATAATATGCATTTATTAATTCATTTACATCCATATATATAAATGTGAATGTCTGTTTGTTTATTACCTTATAAGTTTTTAACCACTGCACGGACTCGCACGAAACTTTGCACACTTATTTGTTTTTACCTCGGTAAGGTTATGGTATGGTTTGTTTGCAAATATGTTGTCAATTTTGCGAGCGGCGTGGCACCTCCCATAGGTCTGCAAATATTCAATCAGCTATAACTTCGGAACCATAAGTCACATGAAGACAAATCTATGTCAGATGCTTATAGTAAGGAGGGGCGTGGCATATCTCATAGTAGTGGAAGTTTAATCAGCCATAACTTCGGAACCATAAGCCACATAAAATTGAAATTTGGTATGCAAACATATCAGTGGTAGGTGCTTATAGTAAGGTTTATAATATAGGCGTGAAAGGCGTGGGGGAGGAGGGCGTGCGCGAACGGCGCGTCGCGACCCGTGGGGACCCGGTAATCTGCCGCGCGTACGCGAACCGCCGTGGAGTTATGCACTTTTAAAGCTGTAGACTATGTTTTCATAGTATGTAGTGTATAGACGTGTATTTTTTTGATAAAGCAATAATGTCTATGGATTTTACTGCGCTTTCGAAAAGGTAACACCATTGTCTATGGACGATAAGTAATAGTGTCCATGGGCGTTATTTCAACTGCGCCCTATTACACGTCACCGTAAAGCTTACATGATTTTTAGCATTTCTGACAGTAATTCACTTTTCAATTGTGTATTAATGTCAATGATATTGGGACGTATGAATAAGAACTAAGTAATTGCTTTTTCTTAAAATTTCGTACCTTTTACTTCAATTTTGTTTGAATAAATCGAGTAAAAGGTCAGAAATTAAAAAAAAAAAACAAATTGCTTATTTTTATTCATATGACCCATTATTTCCACAATTCTTCTGACATTATTCCACTTATGGCCCGTGTATTAATGTCATTGACATTCATTCACTTTTCAATTGTGTAGTAATATCAGTGACATTAATTCCATTGACATTATTGCACGTCACCAAAGATTTCGTTTGGACTTTGCAAATTTGCATTTCTTTCAATTTCAACGGGAAGACATAAGCAAGCATCTGAATTAGGGCTGATGATTTCACCCAGGTAATGAGCTACCCGAGCACCCGGTGAAGCCCTACCCGGGTATTTTACTACCCAGATAGACCCGGGTAGGCGGGCAGTATAGTAATTACCCGGGCAACCGAAAAAATGCCGAGAGGTAAAAAATTAATCGCATTTACGATTATATACCGCAAATGAACGTAAATAGTTTTGAGAACTTAACGTTAAGAATGATAGGGGCGTCTGCGTGTTCGGAGGAAAGGTTATTGTAGTGAGAACCACGGATGTAATCCTAAGCCAGAAAAAAGCTGGATCACTTCAACTTCCAGATCGTTTATCAATATGGTGAAATGTCCATTTATGGAACAATTTTTTAATTTTCTGTGAAAGAAAAGTTCGTGTCTTAAGTCTTTCGTTAACTTATTTTCATAATTATCTTTCAGTTCTTTTTTGATTAACTTTAATATTCAAACATTTCAAAGTAATGGAACACTATTACATAGGTCAGAGAATATTTGTTCCTTTTTCGTTCTCACTAAGAAAGCCCCTGTGACTTTAGCCCCCAAATTGTTCTTCGAGAGAAAGTTCCTTAGAATTTTGTTCCCGTTTTTTTTTTGCCAAAACGTTCAGGAGAAATTTGTTAGCATTTTGTTCTCTTAGAAATGTTCGCGAAGGTATTGTTCTCATTTTGTTCTCTCTGAATTTTTATCATTTCTCATTTTTTTTTTTTTAATTTTTTCGAATACAAAGGATATGATCATTCTTTTTCGCTTTATTCCGTATTCGAAAAATTACATTTTTCAATGGACACATCGATTTGAATACATAATTTAGATTTAGATAATATTTTTAGCCTTGTATTTGAGAAAAATAAAACATTTAGATTATTGTTTGTATTTTGGTCGATTTTAAATTTGCTACCCCAAAATAATTGATATCAAATAAAACACCTCTTTGAGGTAAAATTTTCGAGTGACGAAAGCTGAACTAGAAACGCACAATTTATGATATAAATTTCGTGACGAGAATTATACGCATTTTCTAACTGCCTTGGAAACGTACGGAAAATCTTTTTTTATTCATACGAGCATTTGCACATTTACACCGCAAGTTTCAATTGTCCCGGTCTGCATTCCTTTTTCACTCGTTCACAGATGGTTCTGAGATATTTAGTTCGGAACTAGCGCTTTGTCAGACTGTCTCTACAATTTACCGCAGGGCATGAACACATGCATGCAAGTATATGCATTTACAAATATTAGAAGTTTGAATTTAAGTACAGAAACTAATGTTTTAATTTACTTTTCTTGTCTGCGTCTACTCAGGCTAGCGGTTTTGGTGCACATAGTCGCGTACATTCTAGACATAAAATAAATTTTCTCAGTGCAAAAATATTTATCCTCACCAAAAAGATTATGCAAGAAGCTTTATGTCGCATTACCCGGGTGTTTTTCGTTTAACCGGCACCAACATATGTACATATACTACCTGGGTACCCGCACAAATCGGGTAATACCCGGCTACCCGGGTAATAACAGCCCCTGGTACCCAGGTATCATCAGCCCTAATCTGAATCCATTTGGAAAGGATGCATTTTTAATTTCTCTTATATATTATATTAAAATAATTATTTGTTAGTTTCAATGTTTTCTGATTTCTTTACTAAGTTTCCAAGCTGTAGTGAAGATGGATAATTTTGTATATATTTTTACGAAACTTATTCATAAATTATTGAATAAATCTCTGTACGAATAATTTTGTATATTGTCCTAAGGCTTTCGTAATATTTACGAATGGTTCTAAAATTTTATTATTATGTATTTAAAATTAACTAAATATTTTCGTAGATAGTACTAATGCAGAAACATGTTTTTTGAATTCGTAAAATATACGAACAGTGTTGAAACTCACGTATTTTCCCCCTATCAAAAAACGTACCAAAACGGTTTTGAGAGTACCAAAAAAAATTTTTTTTAGTAATAAAAGAGAAAGGGTTTTTTTCTAATTTATTATTTTTCAATAAAGAAGTAACAAGCTTAAACATGAATTGATTTCACTGCATTAAAAAATATTTTTTTCGCACAGAATTTTGCACAATGTCGATATACATTTTTAATTTAAATTTGTTTTTTTTGCTATTTTTTATGAAAATATAGTTCATACTATAACAAAAAACATAAAACTGTAGTTTCTGAACTCTGATCAAAACTCAGGTAAATTCAATAAGCTTTCATGCAAATTTCCAATTTTTTAATCACTTTTTTAGATTTTTTTTGAGTATGCAGTTTTGTAGCCCAATAAATTTTTAGCGTAAATATGTTCACCAACCACAAATTTATTGAACTCCAAATTAATTTAGATTTCTTACTTGTCCATCACTCCATTAAAACGAATCTGTCTTTATACATATATTTACTCATTGAAAAGTCAAAAGTCATTTGACAAGACCAAAATTGCGTTAATATTGACGTCGTCACCCAAGAATTAAAGGATACCAAATTGCCAAATACCATGGCAGCTATTGTCTTCCCAGACGTAGCCGGAGATATATTATTATATATATAAATTCCTTTGCCGATGTCCTCATTCTCCTGCGTCAGCTCGACCAACCGCGCAAGTTGCCTTTTGTTGCTTACAATTTTTGATCTGTAATTCAGACACGTACATACATACATATGTATATTTCACAATTTTTTACAACTTCCAGTTTAATTGACTTACTTTTTATCCATTATAGTTACACTTTCTTATGTAAATTTCAT